TAATAATAATAATAAAAGAATGAGTCTTATGATGCCAAAAGAACAAATAACAATAACAAAAAAATCAACAAATACATCACACTCAGAAGAAACAATAAAAAAAGGACTACTTACAGAAGGGGAGAAAAATTTTGCTAACCATACATATAATAAGGGGTTAATATCAAAAATATATAAAGAACTCAATCAACTCAATAACAAGAAAATATCCAATTAGAAAATAGAACTAAATGGGCAATTTCCCAAAGAGGACATCAAATGGCCAACATAAACATGAAAAGATGCTTGAAGTCCTCAATCATGAGGGAAATGCAAATCAGAACCACAATGAGTTGTCATCTCATACCGGTCAGAATTTCTATAATCAACAAGACAAGTGACAACAGGTGCTGGCAAGGGTGTGGCGAAAAGGGAGCGATTATACATTGTTGGAATGGATGTAAATTTGTACAACCACCATGGAAAACAATATGGAGGTTTCTCCAAAAATTAAAAATAGATCTATCATACTATCCAGCAATTCCACTTCTGGGTATATACCCAACAGGATTTTGATGAGAAACATGCACTCCCATGTTTATCACAGCATTATTATATGGAAACAACCCAAATGCCCACCAGTGGATGAATGGATAAAAAAAGATGTGGTTGTTTTACATAATAGAATATTTTCAAGCCATGAAAAGAGAAGATATACTCCCATTTACAACAACATGGATGGACCTTGAGCACATAGTGCTAAGTGAGATAAGTCAAACAGAGAAAGACAAGTACATACTATGACGTTATGTACTAGTATATGTACTAGTAGAATCTAAACAAGTTAAATCTGTAAAAAAAGAGAGTAAAATGATGGTTACCAGGGGATAGGTTTAAATTAAACATGCAAGTGAGTCTCAAAATTACAAACAAGGAGGGATAAGAGTGATGGTATTTCAGGGTACAAATTTGTAACAAGTAGTAAACAAGCTATAGAGATCTAATGCACAGTATAATGAACATAGACAATTAATAGGGTGCCCGGGGCCTGGGGCAAGGCTTGTTAGCTGAGCTGCTGGCTCTAATGAAGATGCAGCTCATGCCTCCCACCCTGGCCCTAGGGACCTGCAAGACAGGCCAGCCATAAGCAATGGGGGAAGCAAATCCTGAAGGAACTAGATGAGTACTATGAGAAGTTTAAACAGAAGAGGAGAGTGCTATACTGCATTCAAAAAGCCCTGATCTGGAGTCAGGAGCTGGGCAACCAGAAGATCTAGATTGTGAGTCAGATGGTGGAGCTGGTGGAGAACCGGACCAGGCAGGTGGAAAATCACATGGAATTCTTTGAGATGCACCAAGAGGTCAATGATACCACTGGCCAAAATGGCAAAGCCAGCCATGGTAAGTCCAAGAATGAGACAATCACTCAGGCAGAAAATCCCAATAACAAGAGGTCTCAGCGACAGTGCAACAGTGCAAATCGGGAGTAATGTGGGGATAAGGACACATATGTAATAACTTAATCAATAAAAAAAGAGAGAAATGATTGGCTGTGACAATGAGGATGGATGCCCCATCGAGTGGTCCCACTTCTGTGTAGGACTGAATCATAAACCAAAGGGCAAGTGTCGAGGTGAGAACAAGAAAACCACTGACAAAGCACTGGAGAAATCCAAAAAAGGAGAGGGCTTATAATAGGTAGTTGGTGGACCTTGCTGAACAGTGAGGAGGAGAACTAAGCTGGTATATTTATTACCTTGCCACCTCTGGTGAGATGCAAAGACTGTACAATGTATATCTTTAAAGAATGTTAGAAAAGGAGCCATTCCTTTTATAGAGATGGCAGTGAGTCTCTTTGCATTTTTTTCCATTGGTACATATGTATAACAAGAAAGTCATCTGTGGATCAACATTTTAGAAACTACAAATATAGGTTTAAACCAGGGTTCCTCAAACTACGGCCTGCGGGCCACATGCAAATACAAATATTGTATTTGTTCCCGTTTTGTTTTTTTACTTCAAAATAAGATATGTGCAGTGTGCATAGGTATTTGTTTGTAGTTTTTTTTTTAAAACTATAGTCCGGCCCTCCAACAGTCTGGGGACAGTGAACTGGCCCCCTGTTTAAAAAGTTTGAGGACCCCTGGTAAACACTTGAGTCTCAAAAATATAGACAATAAATTGTACTATAAATATATAATGTGATAAATACTGCTATATCAGCAATCATATTAAAATATAAAAATATATCGAAGTAACACATTGTACTAGTACACCTTAAACTTACACAATGTTACATATAAAATTTATTCAATTTTAAAAATGAGTCTTATATAGCACTATGGGCTGGGAAGAATGAAAAAGGTGCCCTCAAGTATGGTGTCTTTGAATAACTTTAAAAGTGTCACTTATACCACCACACAGAATTTTAATAAAATTTACTTTTTTAAGAATAAAATAAAATTTGTATTGTGGTAAGAGCACTTAACATGAGATCTGTCCTTAACAAATTTTAAGTGCATCAGCTTGACATTTCAAGCCTGAAAAATGTTTCCTAGATGTATTTGGTGACTCTGAACCAATTTGGGGGAGGGGGAGTGGAAAATAGATATGGTAAAGAGGTATATGATCCAGGTGACACATATTTTGGGATCCTTAAAAGAAATGGTAGTGTGCTTGTAATATAGTGGTATAGGACTACAATTCAGAAAAACCAGGATTCAAGTCCATACCTCCACTTTTTGTGCCAGCTGTGCCCCCAAAGCTAAGTCAATTAACAAAAAAATGAAAAAAATTAAGTTTTTACTAACTTTTAAAGTTTCTGAAACCAAGCTAGCTGCTTCCATACACGTGTCTCACTTCATTCTCAGCACATACTTGCAGAGTAACTCCTGACTTAAACAATTAAAAATATGGGCAACACATACAAAACAATGGTTTTTAAGACACTGGACATTGGGCAATGAAGACAGAGATCATTGAGAGACAAGAACCAAATGAAATGATCCCTATGATTTTCCCAGCTTATTGCCTAAAGAGAGTTTCCAGGCCTCAGCACAGAGAGGGGAGCTCAAGTAAAACACAGTGATCTCCCTGAGTGAGGAGACTGAACTGAGAGTCCAGGGAGACTATGGTAGATAGAGTTTGTATGGAAGAATACTGGGGAGAAGAGCTATACAGAGAAAGAACTTTAAAGATCTGAAGAGAGTCCTCCACTATTACTTAACTGAGTATTAATGTCTACGTGTGTGTGTGTGTGTGTGTGTGTGTGCGGTGTGTGTGTGTGTGTGTGTGTGTGTGTGTGTGTGTATGTGTAAACTACCTGAGCATTAGAGGTAGCAATTCTTGGACTTCACATAGGGTTGGAATAACACTTTTCCACCAGCCAGAGCAGAAAAACTAATAATTCACAGAGTAATCAGTAGGGTTTTGCCTTAATTAGTGAAAAACAAAAATGAAACAACAACAAAAAATAATAAAAAACTAGCCCTGGACTAAACCATGCTGCATCCCAGAACTAAGCTCAAGAATATTTATAGGAATAAAAATTACCTGGCACCCAATACAAGTGAAATTTCACACTGAAATCCAATAAATTACCCAATATGCAAAGAAGCAGGAAAATAATAATATAAAAAATTAATCAAAACAGACCCTAAAAGTGATATAGATAACATACTAATAGATAAGGACACACAAACAACTATTATAATTGGATTCCATATGCTTAAGAAGCTAGAGAAATATGTAACATATTAAGTAGAAACAAAAAAGACATTAAAAAACCCAAAATCAAACTGCTAGAGATTTTTAAAAATATATATTTTTATTGATTTCAGAGAAGAAGGGAGAGGAAGAGAGAGATAGAAACATCAATGATGAGAGAGAATCATTGATAGGCTGCCTCCTGCATGGCCCCTACTGGGGATGGAGCCCACAACCTGGGCATGTGCCCTGACTGGGAATCAAACTGTCACCTCTTAGTTCATAGGTTGATGCTCAACCACTGAGCCATGCCGGCCGGGCCAAACTGCTAGAGATTTAAACTACAAAGTCTAAGTTGAAAAGAAAAAAAAAATCACTGGATAGTACCAGTGGCAAATTAGACATTGAGAAAGAAAAGATTAATCAACTTGAAGACATAGCAATATCTATTAAAAATGAAATATATAGAGAAAAATTACTGAAGAAAATAAACAGAGTATTAGTGAGCTGTGGTTCAACTTCAAAGGACCTAATATATGCCTAATGGAGCACTGATTGAAGAAAGGGAAAGGAATAGAAAAAATATTTGAAGAAGGGCAGGAAACTTTCCAAACTTTATGAAAAGTCTAAGATCTAAGAATTTCAATGAATTTCCAAGCACAAGAAACATGAAGGATATTACACCAAAGCAAATCATAATCATTTTACTCAACACCAGCTATAAAGAGAATACCTTAAGGCTGCTATAGACAAAAAACACATTATATACAGAAAAGCAAAAAGATAAGGATAACATCATATTTCTTGTCAGAAACAATGCAATTAAGAAGATAGTGGAGCAACATTTGAGGAGGGGGAACCTGTCAAGCCTATAATTCTATACCCACAGAATATATCTTTCAAAAGGAAAGGTAGAATAAATTCTTTTTGATACAAATGCTGAAAGAATTCACCAGGAGCAGATGCATTATTTTTAAAAAGGTTAAAGAGGGGAAGAACCACGATGGCAGCACAGGTAAACACCTGTACTTGTTGCCTCTCACAAACACATCAAAATTACAACTAAAAGACAGAACAACTATCATCCAGAACCACGGGAAAGCTGGCTTAGTGGAAATACTACAACCAGAGAGGTGAAGATAGTGCATTGAGACTTGTAGGAGGTGCGGAGTTGCAGAACAGGCTGGCACCCAGGTGTGCTGCTTTTTTAATCAGGAGGGAGATACAAGCTCCCGCTTACTCTGAACTCCAGTTCTGGGCGAGACTCTGGGGGACCCAGACACATACAGGGATAAACGAATGTCTGGCATTGGGGCAGGAACTCGAGGGCAGCTTTCTTTCAGACAGAGGTGCTTGCAGCAGTCATTGTTCCTGTGCTGGGACCTCTCCAGTTGCAGGGCTGACTGGCAGCCAAGGCTATCCGCTCCACCCTGGGGATTCCCAGAGACTCTGCCCCACCAAATTTACAACCCCATCCAAGCTGTGTGCAGTGGCTTTTGCATATGGCCTGTCCTTTCTCAGCCTAAAACCTGTCAAACATGCAGCAGCTAGGTCAGGGAGCCCCAAAGCTATTAAAAGAAGGCCCCAGGCCAGCAGCAACAGCCTGCCTTGCTTCACAGCTGGGCCTCATCTGGGCACTTCCAAACTGATACAAAAAGGAGGAATCTGCAGATCTCACCGTAGCTCCTGCTGGGTGGCCCCAGGCAGTGGCTGACTGCACTTCCTTGGTGATCCAAGAGCCAGTGTACCCAGTGGTCAATGTGCGACCATCCAGATTACAACTCCTCAGATCCATCAGGGACACACTCAGGGGGCAGACTCTGTGAGCACCAAAGCCCCCCTGAAGCAAGTCTTGCCCCAGAAGGGTGCCTTCAGCACAGACGTTCTCCCACTGCAGACACAGCTGATTCTCACTGCC